CCCGTATCAAACACCGCTACTGCTTGTAAAGTTATGTTTCTGTTAAAACTGTTGGAAAAAGAGAAATCGATTCACCTTTATAGTAATGTTTTCATATAGTGTGAACAAAGTTGTGGAAAGACACATTATAGCATAAAAAACAAACTGAATATTTTACACCTTCCCATAGCTTAAGTTTTCATTTTTCATGTCTGTCAGTCACTCATATGAGCCATCCATTAATAATCAATGCCTATGTTAACATATATAGATGTACATATACTGTATAGTAGATTTACACAATATGAAATAAGTAGCAGTAGTAGTACTTTAAGCAACTTGATGACTGGAAATAAAAGCAGTCTCTTTGCACCCCCAAGTGGCCAAATGAAATAAGGTTAGGATGAAAACATCAAGGAGTTACTGAAATATGTCCCCAGTTTCAGTATGACAGATATGCTGCAGAATATGGCCTCTGAAAATATGCTTCACTGCCATAGATCCCAATACTGCTGGAACTGGCATGACAGAGAGTTCGTTTCTTACGTCATCTATTTAAAGGATTTCAAAAGGTAACTCATTTGTGAAAATCTCTGACATTTGGCCCACATGTTCTAAACAAGCTGCTGTGCTGTACAGTCAAGGCATGGTAAAAATTTAGCAGACTTTCACTAAACAGTATGTCTAAATAAACACATTACTGTTCAGCTTATGGATTTGTCACATTCTTCTAGCAGAATAAAGAAGAAAAACATGCAATAATAAAGTTTTTGCCCCCAAAGTAGCACCTGCATCAACTGTCTGCATCTATTAATTAGTACTCTTAATTTTACAGTGATCAAAACACCTGGATAAGTAGTAGGAAAGTAACGTGGTATGTTTACTCAAGTCCTTCACTAAAGTAGAGGTTCAAATTACTTTTATGTTGTGCTTCTCTCTGCTTCCCCACTGACATTTGCATTAACTCTATCATTAGAAACAGATTGATGATTTCCGATTGATGTTTCTCTCACGTCTTTTCACTCTGTGAGTCTATACACCATTGCTGTATTTAATCAAACTCAAAAAGACTGCTAGCTGCTAAAATCAACAGTTGTTCACAGATGGCTCCTCCTCTCTGAGCCTGGTTCCTGTTAAAAGTGAGTTTTTCCTTCCCACAGTTGCCAAGTGCTTGCTCATAGGGGTTCGTGTAATTGTTGGGGTTTCTTTCTGGTGTTGTAGGGTCTTTACCTTACAATATAAAGTACATTAAGGTGGCTGTTGTTCTAAATTGGTGCTATGTAAATAAAATGTAATAGAACGACTGTATATGCAAATATTAGCATTTAAAATCTATACCATTTATTTGAGGACGTTTTTAATTTATATGCTTCTAATATACTTTAAATCAGGGGCGATTTTAGCCCATTTTTGGGGGTGCTTCAGCATCCCCAAAATGAATCAAAGCACCCCAAAGATTTCTTACTTTTTTTGACAATATTTGTTGTTTGTGTGACACACTGCTAAAAATATAAAAAGCATACAGTACTTGGTTGAGACATAACATTTTAACAACAAAAGTATAGAACCCCCCTCCCAAAATGGTTTGTTCCAGCTCGCCTCTCCCCTACTCTGGCTCTAGCACCGTTGCTGCCAGAGCGATGGTGGCTGAGACGCTGCGGAGCGGAGGTGTAAGTGCCTGGCTTAAAACAGGACATATTAGCTGCATTTAACCTTCAGTTACTCTTTATATAGTTAGGTAGGAGTCAGAACATGTTTCTTTTTAGCTGAAAAACATTACACCCAGGTAACCTGGGTGTAAAAAAACTTGTTTTCAGGCGATGTTTGCTACCCTACAACAAGTCCTACACTGTAGTAAAATCAGCGACATTTGACCGTCCTGTTGCTCCCATTGAAATGTATGCAGGCTATTTAAAACCTAAAACTTAAAATTGTCCGTAGCCTACTGTTTTTACCACTGTCCTGTTTTAAATGGATACTAACTAGCTAACTGACCGAATGCCCATTAACCTTAGAACTCCTGTTGTGTGTGAATGTGTGTGTGAATGGGTGGATGACTGGATGTGTATTTATATCTTTTATTAGATGTTCATGTGGTTTGGTTATTTTCCTTTTGGTTGAAAGTAAACTGAGAGAGGACTCTTTGTTAGTGATCTTAATAGTATTTTTTCATATTAATGTAATTTTTCATCTAATTGAATACAATCTATTTGTGTATGATTTTCAGTCCAAAGAGGGAGAGAGGAAAGAGATGAATGTGAGGAGAAAGTACAAGGTCAGGAAGAACCAGGTAAGAAAACAGACAGGGAACAGTGACAGGCAAAACAGAAACTATTAAAATGGCCTGTATTTATATAGCGCTTTACTAGTCCCTAAGGACCCCAAAGCGCTTTTCAGTCATCCACCCATTCACACACTGGTGATGGCAGCTACATTGTAGCCACAGCCACC